GAAATCATTTCTTTTAAAGTCCCTTCTAACTTTGAATCAAGGTAAGAATGTGATACAGTGAATGAGCTTAACCAAATTTACTTTTGCATAAACAACCCACTTAACTGGACTCTTGAAGATGAAAGAGCCTCTGAAAGAACTTTCATTAAGAACGTACATGTATGTACGTAGCTTTCTGTTTTTGCCCCTATTCTAGTCTGTCGTTCTGAATAACTCCCTCCTTACACAACAGTTATGTGATGGTACACGATCAAATAGTGATCATGTAACAATTGGTAACACTGAGAAACATTATTTCTTTTTTTTATTTGAATCTTTGCTATTTTTTTCTAAAGAGTTTAATTATTTGAATCATTTTTATTGATTATATTGCCAAATTCATTGCGTCCTTGAATATTGTACATAGGTTGAATCCCCAGTATTCTGGAAAGGATGTTTTACATTTGCATTTCTATTTCAAAAATAGTCTACTTCAATGTATTTTGTTTCTATTGCTATTAGTATGAAATTAATATGTAAAATATTTAAAAGTATTTAAAAGCATTAACAACTATTTAAATATTTAAAAGTATTTACACTTAAAATACTAATTGTTAACAAGTAGATTAGAATTTATATATATTTGCATTCATCTTTGAAAATAAGACTTGAAATAATTAGCAAATGAAACTTAGAAAGCGAGATGGAACCAGATGAGTTTTTGCTCAAATTCCATACTACAAAGTCTTATACACTCTGAACAGTGAGCTTTTAAGAGGTCATATCACAAAGGAATGCACGATTAGTTATAAAATTGTCCTTAATTTTAAGCAGATTAGTGTTATGTGAGCCTGTTTCAGTGTTTTTGTTTTGTTTTGTTTATTTTTTTGGTAAGTAAAGTATCTACAGTGGGAGAAATATCTAAATTGTATAAGTTATTATTAACGTTTTATATCCAAAGAACTCAGTAACCACTGATCTGATACAAGATTCCTGATTAGCTTCAATCCGTATTTATATAAGTTACTGATTGACAAGAAATAACTCTCAACTTTATTGAGAGTTAGCTTTCTCATTGTTGTTGTTTTAGATAAGGGGTAACAGCCAGCTTCGCTTAGGACTTATTCCTGGCTCTGTACTGAATATATGTAGCATTAGGGGTTGAGCCTAGGTCAGGATTCTTAAGAGTGACTTAATTCCTTTGCATTGAAGAATCTAACATTAGGAGACAAAGAGACAAAGAAGCAAATTTTCACACAGTTAGTATGAAATTTCCTTAAGACTAGTTGAGTTTGCTCTTTATTCTATTAATATAGCTTAAGGCAAAACTTTCAGTTAAGAAATACAGCCATACTGCATTTGAAAGTCATTAGGTCTTTTTGGAGATTCTCCTTTAACACTACATAGTTGTTGAAATAATACAACATTAACTATTTACTGGACATAGTGTCAAATACAAGGATATCCTTTTCACCAGGCACACCAATGTAAATTCTTGCAGTTATACTTCCTTACGGTGAAACACGGATTTAAATGCAGAAGTTCTCTTCCACCATCATGAAGAATTGGACAGTCTTCTGCCATGTGTAAATTAAAAGCCAGTTTTCTTACATCGACCTTGTAGATGTTTTGCTGTGGTTTGTTTTTTGCTTTTGGGGCCACAACCAGCTGTGCTCAGAACTTACTTCTGGCCCCCGCAGGGATCACTGCTGCGGAGCTCAGGGGATCTTGCAGGTGCCTTACATTCTATTCTGTCTTTCTGGTTTCTCGTGTGGTATTTTGAACTTTTTCTCAAAGTTTATTGAAGAACCTGCAAGAAGAACTCAATAAGTTTCTGGTGTGAATCATTACAACTCAGTATTTATATGCACATTAAGTTTGGGCTGGAGCGATAGCACAGCGGGGAGGGCGTTTGCCTTGCATCCGGCCCAGCTGCGTTGGATTCCTCCGCCCCTCTCTGAAAGCCCGGCAATCTACTGAGAGTATCTCGCCCACGCAGCAAAGCTTGGCAAGCTCCCTGGGACATATTCAATATGCCAAACACAGTAACAAGTCTCACAATAGAGATGTTACTGGGCCCGCTGGAGCAAATCTATGATCAACAGGACAGTGCTACAGTGCTACATTAAGTTATCATTAAGATTTTGATACTTCCCCATACATTAGTCCCTTTTGCTTCATTCATACATCTCACTGGCCCTTTCCATATGGTCATCACTATTGTCTTATTATCTAAATTTTTTTAATTGGGCTTGCTTTAACTATATACGGGTAAACAAAAATTGAATGCCCATATATGAAACTACACAGTTATTTTCTTTATCCATTTGACATTTTTTTCTAAGCTTAATACCCTCCAAGTCTATTCACTCAGAGCAAATGGCAGGATTTCTTTCTTTTGCTTTTTTTAAATAGTTGAATAATACTTTATTGTGCATGCATACCACATCTTCTTTATCCAGCGACAATGTATTCATTTTCTTAACCATGTTATATTCTGAGCCTCTCTCTCATTTTTGAGTAGTACATGCAATTCTAAGGCACTGAGCTTGCAATTGAAAATAGGAAAGGAAATGTCACAGGGGGGTCACTTGATGCTTATGAAGATAGGAATTTATTAGTCTTGTTTTGATATATCTAACAAGAGATATTTTGTTTTCTACAGTAAATATATGTCATGAAAAAGCTGAACAATTTAAGTGGTCATTCTTTCATAAGCAAATATTTGCAAACCTCTTGAATTGCTTGAATTTGCTCATTCCTGAATAGCTTCCTTATACATAGTCACTGTGCACTTGAATAATTCAAGAGTAGTGAGAAGTATAGGATTGCTAATTAATGATAGGACTTTTTTTTTACAAATTTAAGGGTTTCTTAGAAAAATACATTAAATAGATTCATTATTATAATTACTTTGCAACACATAAAATTCTCAAACATTGTGGTACACATGAAAATTAAAGTAATGCTCTATGACCATATTACTTTAAAATTATATGTAGATTTTTTTAAGATTCCTCTAAAACTTTTTTATTTTATTTTATTTTGTTATAGTGAAACACCATGAGGTACAGTTGTAGACGTTCAAACTTTTGTGCTTGGGTTTCAGTCATACAATGATCGAATACCCATCCCTCCACCCGTGCCCATTCTCCACCACCAGTGATCCCAGTAGCCCTCCCATCCCCCCATCCCCCATCCCCCCTACCTCACCCTGCCGCTGTGGCAGGGCATTCCCTTTTGCTCTCTTTCCTTTAGGGTTTTGTGGTTTGCAATAGAGGTATAGAGTGGCCATCATGTTTGGTCTATAGTCTACTTTCAGCACGCATCTCACATCTCGAAAGAGTCCTCCAAACACACTTTACTTGGTGTTCCTTTCTCTATCTGTGCTTCCTTTTCCCTAAGCATGTGGAGCAGACCTCCTGGTACTTATCTCAGCTATTCTTGGGTGTTCGTCTCCCATTCTGTTACTTTATATTCCCCAGATGAGTGGTCTGTCTATGTCTGTAGATTTTGTGTGAAATTTGTCCTAATTACTACAGAATTCTTGATTAGTGGAATTTAAATGAAACAGTTTTCCATGGAAGGGCAGATTTTATGTCACTTTTAAATGGATTAAATACTTTTCTAAAAAAAACTTAAGGGACTAGAGAGATAGTGCAGTGGGTAGGGAGCTTACCTAGCCTGATGCTGACCTGGGTTTAATCTCCTTTATCTCATAGGGTTCCCAAGTCCCATCAGGCATGATCCCTGAATACAAAAGCAAGCTCTGAGCCAAGCTAGGTGTGTTCCCAAAACAAAACAAAAAATATTTTTTTAATACTTGAGTCTATTTTTAGGTAGTTGAAAAAATTAATTTGCACTTTAAACCTCTGATTTTACAAATATTTCTTAGATAAACTAAGTTGATTTTTAGATAGAGTTGTCTATGAAGTAAGAACTCTACCAAAGTTACATATTTCAAGAAGAATAACAGTGATAAGGGAAAAATTATAATAATGCCAGTGGATAAATGTCTGAAGTTTGTAAGAAACCTTAGCATTGCTTAGAATGATTTTTTTTGCACGAAGCCAACCCAAGTTCGATTCTTAGTATTCCATATGGTTCCTTGAGCACTGTCAGGAGTAATTTCTGAGTGCAGAGCCAGGGCTAACCCCTGAGCATTTCTGGGTGTTACCCAAAAAGCCAAAAAGAAAAAAAAACCACCTTGGCATTAGTGTCTTTCATCATTAGTTAAGCTAATGTCAAGTATTAGGCTTTTCTTCCATACATTGTGGACAAGTAATTTGGAAGAATTTGAGAATGCAAGGATTTAGTCTAGAATACATTATGTTGTCAATTATTTCTTCTCTCTTTGCCCCTGTACATTGTGATAAATATGGAATTTTCAGTGACCAGAACTATTGTTTAATTTTTTTCATTTCTCCTATAAGTAGCACTTTCTTGCAGATAATAATTTATATACAATATAATATATGGTATTTCCTTTACTTTTCCACTTTTCCCCTTTTTTAGCATTTCATTATCTAAGTCCTCGATAGAGCATTAAGATTCTTAGAATCTTTTTCCCTGAACCCTATTAGTTCATTATTTATTACAGTCACTGTTGTAGGGCTAAGAAGAAAATAGAATAGTTTTGCCGAAATCAGATTAGATGCTTAGAGATAAAAGAATCCATGAACAACAATTAAATAATACCCAATATCAAAGTGATTTCTCTTATTATAAAATAGCTGCCAGACTGAAAGAATTCTCTGCTTTGAAGTTTGCATGGAGATGTAACTTTTTACTTATTTTTTTACATTAAAATGACATTAAAATATGAACTACCAGAGATTTTTAATATTGCATTTGGAATAATTTTTATGTTTACATAAAACATATAGGTTTCTTTTGTGTCTGTCTTCAGTACATTTCGTCTCAGCTCAAACCTAATCTCCCAGTCAAGTGTTCATTTAAATAAGGATGTGAATTTCTTATATATTTTATTGTAAAGGAACTAATGTTTTTCTTTCTTTTAGATGGCAAGGTTGAAGTTACAAAGGAAGGTGTGAAGCTGTGCACCATGGGCCCGGGCAAAGTGTTTGGGGAGTTGGCTATTCTTTACAACTGTACTCGGACAGCGACCGTCAAGAGTAAGACTTTTAATATTTTTCAAATACATCTAGCCTGTTGATAAGTTGATTAACAGGATTCTTGGTAGGGTATCTACAATTTAATGAATCTATATTTTTATCTTTGTGTTGAAATATATTTGATAGGCTTGTTTTCCTATCAAAAAGTGATATGTAACTCAAACTTTATTGCTAATCTATCAAGTATTTTTGAAATCAGATTTCTTTTAAAGACTTATAAAAAGATCACTTTTCATTTCATTAAAATGGAAGTTTAAAGGAAAGGCCTTTAAAACATGAGGATCATATTTAAGAAATATTCATATATTGGACTATTTGGGGTTGCATGCATTCCCCTTACAAATTCATTTGATCATTCACTGCTTTTGAAAAAATAGGAGAAATGTTGTTGGTATTTTTTTGTCTCGTTCATTCATCACTGAGTAAGATGTATACTGAATTCTAAAACTGCTACTGAGTATATTCTTATCCTCAGCTGCTCATCAAGCTGTATATTATAGCATTTTTCTTTTCTACTGATTGAGCTTTTTTTAAATCGGGGTAATAAAACAACTTGTTTTCCTAATTTTACATGTATGTGGATTTGTGATTTCTCTAGCAACTTGACTCGCTCAGTAGAAGCAGCTGCAATAGTTAGTAAGGGGGAAAATGTTTTTTTTTTTTAAATTTCAAATATCCCTTCCTGGTGCAGGATGTAATGAACATGTAACAGTGCTGATTATAAAGACCAACAGTGGAAAGTCCACTCTTAAGTAGATACATATGTTTCATGTTTAAAAAGTTATTCTGACATATTTTCCTGTGGGTGATGACAATTGTAATTTAGTCTGATAATATGGTGTTTTAAAAACTGCTACTGAAAAAACAGCAGTTAATTTGTTCATTAAATTTAGAATATCAGTTAGTTTCTTATTAATACAATAGTATGGATGCTATAGCTGTATTATTTTTACGTTTTATTATCCAATTGGGCTGGAGCAATGACACAGCAGGTAGTGTGTTTGCCTTGCATGTGGCTGACATGGTCAACCTGAGTTCGATTCCTCTGCCACTCTCAGAGAGCCTGGCAAGCTACCTAGAGAATATTTTTTTTTTAATGTAGGAGTACTGCTATTTATTCAGCCACTGATTGAATTGGACATGAACTCCACCTTACTTTTTTTTTCATAATTTTATTTATTTATTTATTTTTCTTCTTATATTTATTTATTGAATCACTGTGGGAAAAGTTACTAAACTTTCAGGTTTGTCTCGGTCATACAATGATCAAACACCTCTCCCTTCACAGTACTCATTTTTTACCACCATGAACCCCAATATACTCCCCTCCCATCCCTCCCAATGCCTGTGAGGCAGATGATTTCTACTTAACTCTTCTCTACATTGATTACATTCATTATTATGATAAAAGATGCACCATTATTGTTTAGAATGTCCCCCCCCAACAATCATAATTGTTGAAAGGGCACTGTGAAATACTTTGTTTTCTATAGCTTGTTATGAGAATCATATAATGTCACACGGCTGTCATTTTGGATTTCTGCAAAGAACCAGATAATTACGAGATTGGTTTCTGTGCATCTGGTGTTATCACTGTACCAGAGAGCCGCTCGTGGGGGCAACTCATGACCTCGGTAGGGCATGAAGGAAGAGCAGGTACTGCCCCCCTTCCCATGAGACTGCAGTTGCCCCTTCACCACCGGCTCATACCTGACTTTCCTATAAGCTCTGAGGCAGTGGCCACCTTGCTGCCAGCAGGGGGGAAAGGTGGAAGGGAGCAACACCCTTTCCCCCCGGGGAGGCATGGCACCATAGTTTAACGCATGGTTCATTCACTTTTCTGCCTCAAGCTACCGGGCTCTAGATTAAGCCTTTTTGCCTCTGGAGTCATGGCTGTGCTGGAGAGCCACACGTGGGGGGAAACTCGTGACCTCAGTAAGGCTTGAAGGACGAGTCAGTACGGCCCCCTTCCCATGAGACTGCAGTTGCCCCGTCACTGCCAGCTCATACCTGGCTTTCCAATAAGCTCTGAGGTTGTGGCCACCTTGTGTGTGGTACAGATGCATTTCTACCAAAAGCTGCTGGGTTTCGAGATTTGTTTCTGAGTCTCTGGGAAAATGGCCGTTAATCAGCTTGATCAGGAACCAGAGAGGCCATTTGTAAGCGACGACTCGGGGTCTCGTTGGGATGGGGAGGAAAGGGCTGGTTCCACCCCCATCTGGTGAGGCCCCGTGTGTCTAGTCACTGCAGGCCCAAACCTGACTGTCCAGTGGCTTCTGGAGGATGGTGGTCACTGGGCCCCCAGAGGAAATAGGCCAAGGTACGAAACCTATTCCCACCTGGAGTGGCCCAGTGCCAGTAACCTACTGCAAGAACAGGACGCAAAAAGCCTGCCAAAAGCCTTTAGGTTCCGAGATTCGTTTCTGAGTCTCTGGGATCATGGCCCTTAAGCAGTTCGATCAGGAACCACAGAGGCCATGCCTCCAATTATATAGCTGAGTTGGAGGTGGTTTGTGGGTGTGTCTCCCACATACCTAACTTCTGGCTGTTTACTTTCTTGGTTAAATTTTCCCCAAGTTTTTGGGGTCTGACCAAAAGCACAGCAGCAATTTTGGGGTATCTGGAAGTCTGACAGTGCCATCAGGCTGCTGATGCACTTGCCTCACAGGTACAGATTAACCTGCTGGCGGCACCATACCCCCTACCAAGAGTATCTTGCCCGCATGGCAAAGCCTGGCAAGCTACTCGTGATGTATTTGATATGCCAAACACAGCAACAAGTCTCACAATGTTACTGGTCCCGCTTGAACAAATCGATGAACAACGGGAGGACAGTGACAGTGACAGTGATTATCCAATTGAAAAAATACCATGATATTATAAAGCAATCCCTTTTCTTTTCATATACAAAAAGTCAATTGGAATTCTTTTGGAAAAAGAAGTAAATATATACCACTTGTTATTATGATGTCATCAGAATAAAATGCTATATCTGATAATCCTATAGTGCCAAAGACAGCAATTTTCAAAGATGAAATTCATAGTAACATGGAAAAAAATCATGGTGTGATGCAGATCTATGTCATCCTCTGTCCCTCTTTCATTAAAAAATTAAAGCATTAGGCTCCTGCTAAATGAGGATAAAAATATGTATCCACTTGATTAGGATAGTAAAAGTAAAAATATCATTTTTATTTACTTATGGTTTGATTGCTCATTTTCTTTATCTATTATATAAATAGGCAACTTTGATATGTCTGTTTTGCCACAAACATTGCAAATGCCATGGGCAGAAAAATATTAGTTCTTTTATTTGAGTTCTGTAACATTGAAGTTTTCAATGCTTGAAAGTCTTCAAACATTCATATATTTGTAGAAATATTTTGGGTTGTGTAATCATGAGAGAGTTTTAGCATCCATTTTCAAACACCACAAGAAACACAAATTTCTAATATGCTCACAGAATACCCCTTATTGACTCCATTTCCATACCTGGAGGCATATCATTATCATGTTTTCCTAGATTGTCACTCCTGGTTTTGATTTCACTTTCACTCCCAACTGATAAAGCAATATCAATTTACACTCACCCAGGGCCTCTTAACATTTTCTGTATACACAAGTCTTTAAAATCACACACACATACAAATAAAAAAAGTTAGTTATTGGAAACCAATGGAAAGAGTATTTTGTTTATAATAAGAAAAAGGTTTTCAAGATCTCTGTAACTGTGTGTGAACTTATAAGGACATTTATTGCTTTCTTGCACGCACGAGTGTGTGTGTGTGTGTGTGTGTGTGTGTGTGTGTGTGTGTGTGTGTTGAGCCTCTTTTTTGTAGGGTTGGAGGGAGCGAGGGCCTAGGCTACATTAAGTGGTGCTCAAAGTTTACGCCTTACTCTGTGCTCAAGGATCCTGCCTACCAATGGAAACCACATGTGGTACTGGGATCGAACCTGGGTTGCCCTGTGCAAGGAAGAATGCATGTCCTTGACCCCGGTACTACTAGTCTGACCAAAAATATGTCTATTTGGTCAGACTTTTTAATGAATTGACTTGGGAAAAATATCTGAATAATTATCTGTGATTTTAACAAGTATTTAAAAAATTTCCTCATAATTAGAATACTTTAGTACTAACATAAAGGAACCTGGGCATTCTATAAAAACAACCTGCAAAACAAATTTATATCATTTCCTAAAATTATTCTTGATGACTTCTAATTTTCATACATACATTTTTCTGGCTTAGAATAAGTTTATTAAGATACTTCACTGTGACATGGAAATGTTAAGAACAAAATTAAATAACATTTTTCTATTCTTTTAATAATTATTTTTTAAAAAATAATTGAATCTAAGCAGTGAAATAGTTTATATATTCCATTGTAACTACTTCAAAGATTAAAATATCACATTATTTACTCTGACTCTGAAAAATATACCAAAACTATCAAAGACTTAAAAACAAGAATGGGAAAAAGGAAAGTGGGTATTTAACTAAAATTTCTTCATCAGATCTCTCTATGTCTGCTCTAAGTTGTGGTACTTATAAGGTCACTAGGTAGTGTTTTCTATTTGAAAGGAACAAACAGAAGAAATGACAGTTTTAATAATGAAAAGCAATCACAGATAAAAGAGTTAGTGACTTAAAAACTTCTTCTGATAGCTGAATGAAGAAACAATTCTCATGCCTGAGGGAAAGTCATTATAGAGTTACATGAAGCATTGATCTATGATAACCATGCAGTCACATGTAAAAATGAACTGCCATTGTCTGCCAGTATAAATAATTGTTGTATAGGTGCTTGTTACCTGGGGTTTTAATGAGCAGGAGCAAAGTGTCTGCAATAGAAACAGACAAGAACAGGGGTGCTGGGTCGGGGTGTAGGAGGGAAATTGGGTATCTTGGTGGTGGGAACTGTACACTGGTGAGAGGATGGCTGTTGGAACATTATATGATTAAAACACAATCGTAAATAACTTTGTAACTGTGTATCTCA